TATAGGGTTTCACAGGCTGTAAATCTTTGCAGGAACAGAAAGATTCATTTTTCCCCTATGGAGCAACTGGTGGAGTGAACCACTGATCCTGTGGTTCCCAGGGCAGTGCTTGTAATACAGAGCCACTGTGCTCCCATGAGTCATATTCACATATTTGTCAGATGCACTGAAGCTACCAAAAGATTGCAAGGTGCTGAGAAAATCTAAGATGAATAAAACTTGGGTGGCTTTACCCCTCATTTTCTCCCAAGTATTTTGGAAAGGTCACAGAACTAGTCACGTAGCCATATTGTTTAAATATATAATTCCAAAACCAATAGTATGGGTCAGAATCAATGGGGAACACAGGTTGTACAAAATACTTTGAAAATATATGAAGTGAACAATTAAAATTATTGCAGAAATGGGCAGGAAGGCAGAATATACGAATACAAAACTAACCCAAACTCACTGCCATCAAATCAAGTCCAACTTACAGTGACCCTGTAAGAACAGAATCAAGTTTCCCCATAGAGTCTCCAAGGTTATAAATGTTTGTCTTAGCAGACTGCCATATCTTTTACCCATGAAACAACCAGTGGATTTGCATTATTGACTTTGAGATACGTAATTGAGTGATTTGAACACTGTGCTACTAGGGCTCCAAATGAATTCAAGGTTTTACCAATTAAATGACATTTTAAATTGGATTTTTTTTTAATTTCTCCAAATACCTGGTTTAATAAGGACTTGTTTATTTTGAGAAAAAAAGGTCTCAAATATCAGGCTGTTCACAAAAATAACCCACGTATCAACTTTAGAAAACAAATCTTAAAAGACTATTACACTATTTTTCTAGAGGATGCATTTGATATGCCAACTCTCATTCACAAAAAAATACATTGTTAAATTTGTGTTGAACAGCCCCACACAGTACATATGTGGGGTATAACACACATACTTCTAACTCAAAGCTGTTCTCAAGCGCTATCCAACTAAATGAGATTGCCTGTGCAATTAGGGAAACAGCTACTAAACTCATATATGAATGGAAATAACTGTACTCCCTGCATAACAAGAGATTATTTTGGAGACAGATGTTAAAAACAATACATCCTTTTTATTGTTAAGTCAAAGATGTATCAAAATTAAAAGCAAAAATTACAGGGTAAGACTTAACATAACTATTAGGAGCGTCAAAGGAAGTGAAAATGGGACCAGGCGCAGGGCAATATGAATGAATGAACGCAGGAAGGACAAGGATGGGGAGAACAGTGAGCATGTGGCTGAAGATACTAGGGGAGAGGATCTGATGAAAAATATGATCTTAAACAAGCGCTTAGGTAAAGAAATAATGGGGTAACATTTCTAAGGCCCACTATGTGCTTAAGAGTCATCCTCTCCTTCCTCAGCCTCTTTTTCATCATCCTTGATCAACTCCAGCTGGTCATTGCCCCGATCTTCATTATTATCATCATCCAGTAGGTCCCCCTTCTCAGCAGAGTCATCTGCAACCCCCTCAGACTCCATCTTCACATTAATCTCATCTTTCTTCATTGAGCTGCTGCTCTGCTTCTCTTTGGATTTGTCATTCTTCATCTCTACTCCTTGTTTGCTTTGCTCCTCTTCAATTTTGTCCAGGCTTTCCAGTAGAGAATCCACTTTTTGTTTAATCTGGGTCAACTCCTTCTTAATGGTCTGAAGGTCATCTCCTTTCAATTCTTCAGACTTGGAAGAAGATCCCCCACTTTTAGAATTGAAGCCACTTTTGCCCCTCCTTGAGGTGTTTCCTGATACACGCTGGCGTTTTGAGGGCACTACAGCCCCCGCAATAGGAGGAGGAGGAGGAACACATGCTGGATAGCTGTACATCCTGTCATAATAATCCCGCTGAAAGTCATAGTCCAAGTCAAAAGAAGAGCTGAGTAGAGGGGGCGGAGAAGGGTGTTCTGGTACTGACCAGTACATCTCCGCTGCAGATCGTTTCACACCTGCTTTTCCTCTGTTCACTTTTGGCTCTGCAGCCAGATTAATATCTAAAACCTGGCCAGCTATCATTCTG